AAATTCAAAAGGCATTTAAAATTCATAAAATTACATTTATGAATGCATAAAATTCTGTACATAAAAATATACATACTGAATTGCAATACACCCTTAAAAATAAAGGTTCTTTATTGGCATCAATGGTTCCATAAAGAACCTTTACCATCCGTGGAACCTTTTCATTCCACAAAAGGTTCTTTACAGTGGAAAAAGTTATTTAGGCTACGTTTACACTAGTGCGTTTTCGTTTTAAAACACATAACTTTTGCGACGGTTACGCCTGTCGTTTACACTACTCTGGCGTTTTCGACCCACGAAGATTTTTGAAAACGCTGCAGACCCCGTTTTAGTTTGAAAACTCCAGGGTTGCGCAGTGTAAACAGACCAAAACTGAGACTTTTGAAAACTATGGCGTGGCTGCCCACATTCGCTCTGCGTATCCTTGATGACCGTGTAAACCAGTGGTTCTCAACCTTTTTTTCCACCGGGCCGCACTATGGTCCAAGTGCAAGTCTCGCGGGCCGCACGCATATCATTTACATATTATGTCAGCAATACAAACCAACCTGATTTATATTATTATAGCCTAAATATTATGATATCTAATCGATTATGCATTCGACCGGTCCAAGCACGTAGACGTGTCCACCATCTGAATAGGGATTCTACCTATACATATCTATGATTGTACCTGCATGAATGGTCATGTGACATGCGTTTTCAGTAGTGTGGATGGAGATGGTTTCTGACACGCAGTGAAAACGCCAGTTTGCTCTTAAAAAAAGCCTATTATGCTCTTTTATAAAGTCTTGATTTTGTTTTGGGGGTGTACTAGAACAGGCTCTCATACTAGGTTGTTCGAAAAACACATTATTTTTCACATATTTTACATTATTACAACACCTCTCTCCCCAGTCTGGCATGAACGGCTCGAATAGTTCCTGTATCAGATGAAGGCCCGCCTTCTGAAACATGAAATGTGCTGTGATTGGTTAGCTGGGCCAGTGTGTGTTGTGATTGGCACCTGGTCAGGAAATGTCACGCTCCTTACCATAGCTGCCTGCGCGCTTCAGTGTAAATATTGTGTCAAAATCAAATCAATTTAAACACGATTTAAACCCGGATGATTGTAACCACTCTAAGTTCGTCTGCCTTGGGAAAGCTAGCGTGTCTCCGACATGGTGATAACACTCGTTGCCTTCTCTAGTGCAGCTTAACCAGGTCTCGTCCCTTTCGCCGGGCTTTGTAATATCACAAATCCCGGAAAATATGCATTGTAGTCCAAACGAGTCGTTCGTTGTAGTTTTTAAAAAGTGATTTCTGTTAAGGTGTGCTCTGATTGGCCAGCTCTCCAGTGCGTTGTGATTGGCCGAATGCCTCAAGCGTGTGACGGAAATGTTACGCCCCTTAACATACTGTGATGCCGTCTCCCAGCAGGACGAGACTCAGTCCAGCTGCTCTGCTCGTGCACATTCCATCATCGGTTCTCTTTTAGCAATTCAGTCAATGTACTGAATAACTGAATAACTCGGGATATTGGTTTATTTCGCGTCAGAGGGAGTGTCAGGCACGTTTATAAACTGAATAACTTAAGTAATTTGTGAATTAGTGCATACTGGAGACGCGAACCGTTTCAAACGATTCAGTTCGATTTGGTGAACTGGTTCGACTGGTTCACTAAGAAGATCCGGTTAAATAGAACATTTCGTTCGCGATGCGGACATCACTAGATGAGACAAAACCAATAAAACCCATTACAAATGAGACATTTGTTGCATCCAGTGGGGAAACTCATACGTCATCCGCCCGGAGCTGCTTCCGTGTAGGATTGTTGGCGCAAGCTAAGTGATTATTACGTTTTGAATATGGATATTTTTCTTACAAAAATGCATCGATTCTCTTCAGTTACTCTAAAGCGGTACTAAACTGCAGTGGAAACGCAAACAGAGCCGAGTCGTACCACGCAGTGGAAAAGCGCCATAAGAAAAAATGGTTCTTTTAAGAACTGTTCACTCAAAGGTTCTTTGGGGAACCAAAACTGGTTCTTCTATGGCATTGCTGTGAAAACCCTCCTGTTGGAACCTTTATTTTTAGGAGTGTATTGTCTATTAATAGATTGACATATTACTGTAAGTAACATTATTCAGTATCTACTGACAGTTTTGGGTGATGAATAATGGATGGTAAACAGAAATTTACCACAACGTGTGTGTTTTTTAATATATTTATTATTTATTTTAGATCTGTATAGTCTGTTAATAATAACTGTCCTTTTCTAACTTTTATAAATGTATAACTTTTATAAATGAATATACAGCATGTGTATATATATTAGTGCTGTCAAACGATTAATTGCGATTAATCACATCCAAAATAAACGTTTGTGTATATAAATACAAACACATGCATATTTAAGAAAAATATGTTGTTTTATATGAAATATATTTATATATAATATAAAATATAAGAATATAAATATATAAATGTATATACATGTAAATGTTTTCAAAATATATACTGTATGTGTGTGTATTTATATATACATTATAAATATACACAGCACACATAAATATATTATGTAAACACAAACTTTTATTTTGAATGCGATTAATCATGATTAATCGTTTGACAGCAGTAATATATATTCATATATTCAGCAAGGATACATTAAATTGCTCAAGTGTATCAGGGGAGATATTTTTAATGTTATAAAAAATTTATATTTCAAATAAATGCTGTTCTTTTGGACCTTTCTATTCACCAAAGAATCCTGAAAATAAATAAATAAATAAATAAAATCAATAAACAGCACAACCATTTTTAATATTTATAATAAGAAGTGGTTCTGACCCCAAACTTTTGAACGGTGGTGTATGTATATTTTTAACAATATTTTTTACTAATTCTTTTTAACTAAAATCTTAAATCTGTTCTTAATAAAAACAAATTTAATAAAATAATTTGTATATACAATATCATCTAGTATTTTGTTGTCACTATTTATGTTTAAATGTTTATGGTCAACAGGGTTAACAGATTTATCCTTAAACTCTGAATGAAAAATGTTTTTCTTGTCAATTTTATAGCCCTGACTCCAACTATGAGACTATGACCAGCAAGTGGCCCTCTGTGTGGGTGAAGATCACCTCCACCTGGATCTGCATCTCTCTGTATGTGTGGACTCTGGTGGCTCCACTGGTCCTCATCAACCGTGACTTCGAATGAGAGGACGGATAGAAATGAAAGCTTGCAATTAGAATCCGCCATTACTTATGTGAATATCCACATGTATAGAGATAGGAGGGTCCAAACGTAAATACTTGAGTGTTTTGTTCGTTCAGCTGACACTACATGTTTTTTTTTTTTTTAACCTTGCATGCTTTTATGTAGTGTTTATTTGTTCATATATGAGCTGAAATAAATGAAGAACATGGCTTGGGTTTCCTGTGATGTGAAGTTAATATTTCCTTCAAGAATTTGTTCTTCAAAATTGAGGATAATATAACGCTTGATAACCTCTGTATGGTTTAAAAAATAAAATAAAATATATCTTAAGTTATTTGTGGAGAGTAGTGAAAATGCAGGTCATGTTTTCCCATAAATCGTGACATCCATAGCTTCCTATAGAACGCACATATACAGTAGTGAATTAGCATGTGAAAAATTTACAGGCAACTTAAAATTGTAGATTTTGTCATACTTTTCGCCTCTTGATGATTTGCACCATGAACGTGACTGTAATTTTGACTTAACAGTGCTAACCCTTTTGCAATTTGCACATATTAGTTGTTTGCGCACTATTCATTTTATGCTTGTAGCCAATGTGTGTGTTGAACAATGTTTTGCACTGAATATATTATCCTTTGCTGATAAAACCTGAATAGATGACTTGTTTTGCTTTTTCCCGTTATTGTATCCTATTAAAGGCACACTGGTGGTTCTCTTGATGACCGTTCTCACATTTATTTTTTTAATGTCAGTGTTATTTTTTGCCCTTTGACAAGTGGATTGTAATCACCGAATATGTCATCTTATTAAAGGTTTAAAACCCAGATTATGTTCTCATTGGAGTTTCAAAATATTACCAGTTATTGGTACAGATTTCAAGATTTAATTACGGTTAAATCACAAACTACAAACTAAATTACAAACAATTAATACTGTAAATTAAATCTTGAACCCTCTTGGTACATTCTGGTAGAGTTTTTACATACAGTAGTCAACATTTGAAGTGGATCAAAAAAAAGTTCATCAAAGTTGTCCTAAGACGAACGCATTTTGGTTTTAGGATTTAGGACAACTTTGATGAAAGGTTTTGATCCACTTCAAATGTTGACTACTGTATATAGGCCTACAGTTCTAATTATATTATACAGTTCTAATTATCTAATCAACTTAGTTGTTAGAATATATATAGATAGTATAGTAATGAATGTGCCTATTCTGGCTTAATTGCAAAATGCTCCCCTTTTACTTTTTCGTTTGTGACATTCACAACACAAACTGATTTACTGACATCTTTCCGCGGTTCAAAACCGAGATATTCTATATTTTTAGTTGTACAGTATTTAAAAGTGGAAGAGATTATCGATTCGCGGGGCTTTGCGATCTTTCTCGCTACAATCCAGAAGCTACAAATCGGTATTTATTTCTTTAAATTTCATGATGAAACTGTCAGAATGATTTCTTAATTTTTAAAACTAACAAAGTGAATAGGCTCTATGCACGATCGCTTCCGCATTTGGTCTCAGCCAGCTCAGTTACATCCGGTGCAGCGCCGGAAGCCATTTTCGCTATTGGCAATAACTGAAAAGGTTTACAAGAGCTTCCCCGGATTACCGTGAATGACGTTAATCGTATCGTGAGGAAACCAGCTGTTACACCCAATAGTAAGAAAGAGAAGGGCTTCAAATTATTGACTAACAGACACAGAAAATTGGATTTAAATTTTTTTTTTTTCGGTTCGTTAAAATCATAATATAAACATTTCAACCCAGCCCTATTTAAAAACAAACAACAACAAAAAAACACTAGAATCAATGTTTAAATTCCTTTAATGCTACTGCAAAGCTTTGTATAATAATGGAAAGCTCACGGTAACAAGAATCACTGTATTGTCCAACAATATGGAACTAACCATAAGCCAAAGTCTTCACGTCTATTTACAGTGACATTAGGACATCAGGCAGGCACTTCTATACCATACACATAAAGGATAGCTTTAACATTTTCTGAACGGCTCAATAATAAAACAGGAAAACACGTGCATCACGAAACAGCTGCAGTGTAAACCAGCAACATAACTGCAGCCTAATCTCCTGGTAGAGATTGTGGAAAGGACACTAGCTAGTGAACAGTAACTAGAAGTATCTTGTGTAAGGAAGGAATGTCAAACTCATGGACAGACTACCAAAAAAATTCTGCCAAATAGATATCATCGTTTTGATGAATATTTACAAAAAATGAAAAGGTCTGTTTTCCAGGCTGATTAGCTTTCAGATATCAAGCTGTGGCGTGTCGTCACTGGACAGGTCAGAGTTCAGTTCGCACAGGTAGAACAGCGTGGTCTCGCTCGCCTCCGCCTCAGTGAGCGGCTCCAGACGGATCAGAGAGCTGCGAGGCGTCTCCGTCTCCAGGTCCTTGTCCAACAGGTCTGTGATGTTTTCAGGGCTCTGGGGCAGGATAGGCTGGCACAGGTATTCAGTTGGAGAATCTGGTGGGGCCAGAGGGGTGCATCCATCTATGAAGGCCAGCAGAGGGCAGGTTGTATACTGGATCAGCTGCTTATCTGAATGAAGTAACCAACACGCTAGTAAACAAAGCACAGTGAGGGCACACAAATGACACTGATTTATAAAGGAACATGCAACAATTACCTGTGTTGTCAGGCTCAGGCTTCCCTTTGTGAATGCTATCCTTTGCTTCCGAGACAGCTTCCTGCCAACAGCAAAAGGGAAAAAAAACTGCTTTATCAAAATATGACAATGCAGAATAAAATTAAACAAGCCATCATGGTGAATTACAGCAGCTGAGCGATATATCATTGGAAATTATTTTAAAGCTTTTCAACAAAAAAACTAAACAAAACACATTATGGCTTATGGAATCTCCAAACAAACCTGTATGATATCTGGGTCAATGCTGAACTGTTTTCCATAAAGCATAGCTTGGAAGTCTTCCAGACTGCAGTCAATGCTGTCCAGATAGTCCATCAACTCAACTCTGCAGTGATTTCATTTACAATGAAATGTTCATTAAATATTCTTAAAGCAGAAATGTGTCATTTTTGCACGACTAAAAGTCTCACCAATAAAAAAATAAATCAATAATAAAAAATAAAGAGAAATGCAAAGCCTGAATTTTGTTGAATGGAAGCCTATTTCCACCACATGAAAGAAAAAAAAATCTTGCTTTGACAGACACCAAGTCATAAATATGAGATACTACGTATGAGGGAAAAAAGTCCAAATTATGAGAGAAAAAGTCAGAATTATTTGACAAAAATTTTGAGATGTCATAATTAGGAGATAAAATCAATTATGAAAAAAATAGAGAAAAAAATGTAAAACACTGAAATTAATTCGATTAAAAATCTAAATTATGAGATTGATTATGAGATAAAGTCCAAATTGTGGATTGTGATTTACCTAAACATTTTTTTCTTATGTGGTAGAAACTGGCTTCCATAAATAAGTTCTCAGAGTTTGAATAATAGTTGTTTACTCAATAGCAAGGAACATTTTTTTTTCTCTTGGCAAGTGAGAAGTTCATCAGGATATTAAATCTCAACAGCCTTGTATTGTATATGGGCAACACTGGCCTACTTACTTGCCAAGAAGGTTTATGTTTTGTGAAATGGCTCCATTTTCACTGAGAATGGAGTTCATCAGCTTCACTGGATCCTCTGAACTTAGAGCTGAGGGTTTGTTCAACTGCAGGGTGCTTGATAAAATGTCAGAGATGATTTTGGGTACTGCTTCTTGTTGAGTGGTTGAATTTGTTCCAGTTTCGTTTGTGCTGTCGTTTCTTATAGTCGGGCTGCTTTCACAAGCAACTTCCACAATTTCAGCATCTCTGTAAGAAATCAAGAAAACACAGATCTCATTTCTAATTTTCTGTCAAAACTTTATGCAAAGGAGGTGCAATGGTTTGAATCAAAACCTAAATGCTTACCCTTGGTCAGCTGGTACCGATACGCCATCTGTAAATTCTGCATCTTCTTCTGTGATGTCACAGATGACGACATCTTCAGAAATGTCAGAACTGTTCTTCAATCCATTGAGTCCATTCACTGCAGACTAACAGAGATGAGTCTCTGACAACCAGATCTTCGAGTTTCAATATTAATGAGGAATATCATGTTTATATAAATAAATCGGTCCCCCACCAACGTGAATTTAACTGACGGTGATTCTCACAATTTAAGGTTCCTATCCAGGGGCAGGCCACTTTCACACAAAGTGAACCCGGCCTCAAATCTCATTAAGAGAGAAAAACGCAAGATAATGAATAGCAACATTACATTTACAATATAACTGACAAGAGCACATTTCCTCCTAGTAGCAAGGAGAGACAGAGTGCATGGAACCTAATCACCCCTGGATGGTTTTACACCTACTTTGCTGTGGTCCATAGGTTCCTCGAAGATCTGGTGGATGAATTTAGACTTCTTTCCGTTACTGTTCAGTGTAAGTGGCCTGAAATTAGATAGCAAGTACATATTAATCATAAAAGGTATACATAAGGTACATATTAATAATAGTGTAAAATATATTAATATTTGTTTTTAATTTATAATAATAAAATAAAATTTAATTAAAAAAATATATAAATTATTTCTCTCAAAATTACTGAAAGAATTATTGATGAATCAGAATTGGAACCAGGAAGATACATATTATACATACACATATATATATATATATTTATTTATTTATTTTTTAAATTATACTCATCTTTTATTTAAAATAACTGTTTTCTGTTTTAATATATTTTAAAATGTATTTCATTTCTGTGACGGCAAAGATGAAATTTCAACAGCTATTACTCCAGCCTTCAGCAATTATTCTAATATGCTGATTTGGTGCTCAAGAAACATTTCTTTATCATTATCAAATGTTAAAAACTGTTCAGCTAATTAATATTTTTGTTAACTGTTAATAGTTTTTATTCAGTATTCTTTGATGAATAGAAAGTGATTTATTTGAAACAGATTTTTTTTTTTGTTGTAATAATGTAAAAGTCTTTGCTGTCAAAATTTGGAACGCCAGTAGTGTACTTTTATTAGATGCATGCATACACATACTTTTTAGACTTACCTTTTGCGTTTTAAATTTAACATACGATTGTTCTGAACCAATGTGAAGATGAACTGCACCAGCTGCAGGGAACAATACAAAAAGTGGCATTAACATTCAAACCTTTGCATTAGATCATGCACATTTTATGCTGAAATACAATTGAAATGTCTGCAAAATTGCTATGTGCAAGTAGAACGTACCTCCTTTATGACCTGCTGCTGCTGTGCATGTTTCTGTCTGAGGTCTGACAGCGCTGTCCAAAGAGCTTCATTCTCTCTGAAGAAAAGACAACAGAAAAGAGAATGAAAGTTATACATTTTCTAAAAAGCATGCCATGATGTCAGAGTGTAGTTCTTGGTTGTTGCTAAGATATTCGAAGTGGTTTGTTTAACCATGTTGATACTCGCTGAACAGGGCATTATTAGGTACAACTAGTGATTAGACTGTCTGTTTCCTTAACTTCTGGGTAAATGCACATGGACGAGATTAAATGATACAGGAAAAGGCACAAGTACAAATTAAGCTTCTAATAGAGTATTTCATTACCTTTTCAATGTAGCAAGTCTAGCATCCATGTTTTCTTGCTGCTCATGTACGTTCTGAACGCTTGTCAGAATTGTAGAAAGATCATCTTGCCTTATTTTGCTCTCTTCAGGGCGAGCATGTGACACCTGTATCAAGAAAAATGACAATCATAATGACAATACTTTAAAATAAATGTTCTCTATATATTTTCATTTGCATCTTATTTTCAGGTCTCTACTTTCTAATTTCGTCATTTTTAACAGATTTCAGAGATTTACCTTTCTTTTGATGTTCTCTAGCAGGTCATCTTGCCCATGTTTGAAATATGGATGCTGGAATTCAACTGGTCCATCTCGCTCTTGCTTCACTATGCCCGTGTCAATGTGCATCACCTTGCGAAAACCATCTGTTTGTAAAGGAAAGGAACAAAGTGACAAAGAAACGAACATTGATCTCAAATTGCAGCTGAACAATGAGGAAGGAGGAGAATTTCGGTGGAGCTGTAGAGAAACCACTTACACATGTTGAGCTGTCGGACAAAACTGGCCATGTTGTTGTGCTTGAAAAACTTTGGGAGAATCTCTTTTGCAAACCTTTGTTCATCCAGTACAAGGAAACTGTTCCCTTCCTATAAAAACAAATGAAGAGCCTTTTTAACTAAATAAAACAGACCTGCCATTTTGTATGTTGTTCCTTATTCTGTAGAACACATTCTGTGTGTGTGTGTCTGTGTGTTTTGAGCATTACAGACATGGTCAATATAAATTATTGAAAAAATACATAAAAATGCTATTTTTGTATTTCACAGAGAAATTACAATAAAAAGAATACTATGAAGGTATGGAACAACATTAGGGTGAGGAAATAATAAAAATTGAGTGTACTATTTCCCTGATTACAATATTATAATACATACACACATACAGACATACATACATACATACATACATACACACACACACACACACACACACACACACACACACACACATGCATGTGCAAATCCTCTAAAGAACTAAATAATAATATAACTGTTAAATAAGAAAATAAAATGGAAAAAAATATATATGTTGCAAATCTTAATACTTATATCATAGCACGACATCTATGATCCAACATAATAAACATCTAATCGCATAGGACCCGGATCACAAATATCTGTGTCACTATAAACTAAGCTAGAATGCTAACATTCGGCTCTTTTCTTTCATTTAACGTTACCTGGCTCCAGCAAATAAATTCATTTGTATCCGAATCCTCGACGAGGGTCCAAAGCTTGGTGATAAATCCGGGAACGTTGGAGTTGTGTTTCATTTTGCTGGAGCGAAAATGCAAAGAATAAATAATATGAGTCAGATTTTTTTCTTGGGTTAGACAAAACAGGAGAACCAGTGAAAATAGCAACGCAACTACACAACTTCCTGTAGGATTTGAGAGCGAAAAAATACAAATGCTATTTTTGTATTTCACAGAGAAATTACAATAAAAAGAATACTATGAAGGTATGGAACAACATTAGGGTGAGGAAATAATAAAAATTTGAGTGTACTATTTCCCTGATTACAATATTATAATACATACACACATACAGACATACATACATACACACACACACACACACACACACACACACATGCATGTGCAAATCCTCTAAAGAACTAAATAATAATATAACTGTTAAATAAGAAAATAAAATGGAAAAAAATATATATGTTGCAAATCTTAATACTTATATCATAGCACGACATCTATGATCCAACATAATAAACATCTAATCGCATAGGACCCGGATCACAAATATCTGTGTCACTATAAACTAAGCTAGAATGCTAACATTCGGCTCTTTTCTTTCATTTAACGTTACCTGGCTCCAGCAAATAAATTCATTTGTATCCGAATCCTCGACGAGGGTCCAAAGCTTGGTGATAAATCCGGGAACGTTGGAGTTGTGTTTCATTTTGCTGGAGCGAAAATGCAAAGAATAAATAATATGAGTCAGATTTTTTTCTTGGGTTAGACAAAACAGGAGAACCAGTGAAAATAGCAACGCAACTACACAACTTCCTGTAGGATTTGAGAGCTCTGATTGGTCCGTTGCGGCCTTACGTAAGATTGCTCACGTGTGTTGTCAGCCGTATGTTGGTAGTAGCCAATGAAAACGCTTCGTTGAAGAGAGAGGGACCTGATTGGTCACTTTTCCGCCCCCAAGAGAAATAAAACGACACCAGCGCTCAAAAATGAATTGCGTGTTTTCCCACTGTTAAGCGGCCTTTCCACTGCACACGACATTCGGACACGACTGTCGGAATTCGCCCCCTAGTGGCAGTCGCACGGAAATTTCATTATGATCATACACGGCAACATGGGAGAGAAGCTTATCCTCACGGTCTCAGAAAACCCCATTCTGTATGATACTTCTCTAGAATCATACAGAGACTTTAATAGGAAAAATGAGGCTTAGAAGAGAGTTAGCGAGATTGTCGGTTTATCAGGTGTGTTTTGTTTGCCAAATTTGCTGAATGTATGCAAATCCTTGTCGTGCCTCAATTAGCATCTAGCCTAGTATTCCCATGTATAACAATAAACAGCTATGCATATAGGACAAATGACCGCCAATAATTTTGGAGGGAAAATAAAGACAACATTAAAAATAATAAAATATAAAATTTAAATGAATAATTTATTATTCACCAATAATCATGCATTTTTTAAAAGTTTTAAAACAAAATAAAATGTGATAAACAAAAATCATTATAATTCTCAACTTGCGCACACTGATTTGATTGGACAACTTTGGAATACATCACATCCGGTCTGCGTGTCGCATACGGTGTAGTCGCTCAAGTTCAAATATTTGAACGCATCCGAAGCTCAAATCGGATCCGAAAATTCCGCATTCGCAGATGGTCGGCACCCCACGCAGCCCCTGTACGACTCTCCATTGGAAATGAATGACTTCCGGTCCAACGGCTGTCGTTTGTCGTGTGCAGTGGAAAGGCGGCTTTAGTGTTTTTTGTACGGCTGTCTGTTGCACAAATCGCAACATCAAATCTCACTAAATATAACGTTTTAAAACAAAATTATAATTGATTTAAAGCGTAAATTAGAATATTTTTCGTGAATTATGTCCTATAAAGAAATATAATTGCATCATATTTATGTTATAGCACGTAAATAAACTTAATAAATCTACACTAGCAACATATTCGGATGAAAGTAGATCCACTGGTGTTGATTGTTTGAGGTCTGCGTGGATCGGGAAATGGAAAACGCGGAGTGGAGTTACAGCCGAGTCAGGCTGTGAGTGCAAAATCAGTGTCGCTCCGTTCCACTCATTCGTGATTCTCCATAACGGTCTTTGTGTTTCCTTGTCACCATCAGAGCTTGATGGCTTAGCTGGTTTTGAAACTCTGAAATAAATTCTTTGACGGAGAAGAAACATGTCAACTAACTGGCCAAATTAAGCCTAAAATGTAAGTTATTTTATATTATTTACTAGTGTTGGAACTGTTGTGTAAAAATATACAGTTTACTGAACACGTTTGCTTCGGCCTGCAGCCTTTTGCCAACAGCTGAATCACACCTGTGAAGATATTCATAACAACAGCACTCTTGCTTCTGTGATATTGCTTAATGTTGCCTTTTACATTGTAATGTAATGTAAATAATGCTGTGCCTCAGAAATGTTTCACCGAAAAAAAAAATTTTTCAATAAATAGGCTATTTGTGACATCTTAATGGCAGGTATTGTGACAACATGCCCCATAAAAGATTTTTTTTCTGTAGCCGTTTGACAATACCTCAAAGGATCATCCATCAATTTAATTTTACAAGCTTTACAAATCAAATTTTAAATTGATAAATAGATTGTTTGTGACAGCATGCCTCACAAAACAGTTTTATATTTATATTCTGTAAACTTTATATTCTGTAAAAAATTTTGATGGTAATATTGGTAAAAATATTCAATATCTCTTTTTTTTTTTTCTAGCCACTTGCCAGGGTTTCAAAGGTGCATTCAATAATCAAAATATTTAAAAAAAACATTCATATGAAATGACAAATCCAGTCATTGGTAGTGTAGAAATGCATTTTACATGGAGCAGGTTGCCTCATGGTGGCAGGTTTATATCACATGACCAACCTACTTGCTTTGTCTTGGTTAACCCTCCCGGTATTGGACACTTTTGCTTGTGAAAAAAATTAATTATATGCTGTATTGCAACAGTGTGTTCTATAAATCTGAAACCTTTTGCAAAATGCTGAATCCATGCAGACGAATGTCATATAAATGTCTTTTGGAGTAAAAGTGTGATAACTAACCCCGATCTTCCATTTTAACAGCAGATCCGGTTTGCACGTCATTGCAGATGGAGTTCATACAGTTTGCACAAGTGAGTATTATTAAACTTAAGTATTTTAATATGTCACTTTTCAGTTATTACATCTTTGTCATTGGGTTACATTTTGCAGTTATGATGCTGCTACATTAATATAGTCAAAACACTTGCCAGCAACGTGTGTAATTATGGAGTGAAGGGAAACATCTTTTGAATAACTAATAGGGAATTGAGGATTGAATGAAATTTATGATGCATGTAGTCGTTTGGCCCATATTTATGTCTTGTTAGAACTAGCACTGCCATATTCTAACACTAGAGGTCAGCATTGCACAGCAAATATTAGTAGTGAAATCAATCTGATCTGAAAAGTTCAGATACAGATGATAGCTTGATTATTCTGTCATTACACTTGTCGATGACATTCAGATTGTTCAAGAACAGTACATTAAATAAAAATGCATGCTAAAATGTGGTTGTATAGAGCAGAATGCAAGGCATTGTTGCAAGCAAGGTGTTAAAAGGGCAGCGTTTTTCAACAAACCTAATCACCTGCGAGGGAAAACATGGCGAGTTTAAACTTTTGTCTTCCTCCATGCCCTTGAGTCTGTTGTGAAGAGGATTTTACCCATGCAGCTGCAAAAAAGAGCCGCCTTATGCTGCCCAGCTCTCTCTCCCACACGTACACACATGTGATAGTAATTTCAGATGTTATAAATAACTGATTATTGTGCTTTTTAAATGCTTAGCACTTGATTTAATTTGTTAAGCCAGCTGCAAAACAAATTGCCTTCTGAGAGAAATAAAAGGCTGTATTTAATTAACCAGACCTGATGTTGGACACAGTAACTGTAAGTGGACTAACAACACTGAGACGAACATTAAGGTGAGCGTAACAGAGAATGAACTTGACAGGCCCGACTAATGAGAGCAGACAGTAATATTCACATCAAACGATTACATCAAAGAGTCTTTCCTAATAGCCATAATTAGAACATTCTTTGATTCTTGGTAAAGAGAGATTATGGAGATGGCAAAAATCAGTGTGAATTATAGTTAGACAAGTGATAGGAAAGTCACTACTGCCTAGTATATAGAAAAATTGCAATGAACACTCCTTTCTTTCTTTCGTTCTATTTTTTTTTATAATGCCAAACAGATTATATCATAATGACCTTAAGTGAAGTGTTATCAAAAAAAAAAGAAAAAAGATATAAATATATGGATAAATGGGTTTTGGATTTATATAATAAATGTTTTAGTGGATTAGAAACTACTAGATCAGTGCAATTTACTTTAAAGTTGAAGCTATAAGAGAGTAACCAAAAAGATTAGAAAAAATAATTATTTATAAAACAACATATTGAGCAGTATGCAAGGCATTGTTGCAAGCAAGGGGTTAAAAGGGCAGCGTTTTTCAACAAACCTAATCACCTGCGAGGGAAAACATGGCGAGTTTAAACTTTTGTCTTCCTCCATGCCCTTGAGTCTGTTGTGAAGAGGATTTTACCCATGCAGCTGCAAAAAAGAGCCGCCTTATGCTGCCCAGCTCTCTCTCCCACACGTACACACATGTGATAGTAATTTCAGATGTTATAAATAACTGATTATTGTGCTTTTTAAATGCTTAGCACTTGATTTAATTTGTTAAGCCAGCTGCAAAACAAATTGCCTTCTGAGAGAAATAAAAGGCTGTATTTAATTAACCAGACCTGATGTTGGACACAGTAACTGTAAGTGGACTAACAACACTGAGACGAACATTAAGGTGAGCGTAACAGAGAATGAACTTGACAGGCCCGACTAATGAGAGCAGACAGTAATATTCACATCAAACGATTACATCAAAGAGTCTTTCCTAATAGCCATAATTAGAACATTCTTTGATTCTTGGTAAAGAGAGATTATGGAGATGGCAAAAATCAGTGTGAATTATAGTTAGACAAGTGATAGGAAAGTCACTACTGCCTAGTATATAGAAAAATTGCAATGAACACTCCTTTCTTTCTTTCGTTCTATTTTTTTTTATAATGCCAAACAGATTATATCATAATGACCTTAAGTGAAGTGTTATCAAAAAAAAAAGAAAAAAGATATAAATATATGGATAAATGGGTTTTGAATTTTATCTGATAATAAGTATGGTCATTTATATAATAAATGTTTTAGTGGATTAGAAACTACTAGATCAGTGCAATTTACTTTAAAGTTGAAGCTATAAGAGAGTAACCAAAAAGATTAGAAAAAATAATTATTTATAAAACAACATATTGTTATAAAACACCATTTTTACATATTTAAACAATTAATTTTTTTATTTTTTTATTTTTTGCACACAATCCCGCTATTGGTTGAGCCACTGTTGTTGTGTCAGTCTGGTCGGGATACTCAAACATAACAATGTTTTTTATAGCACCAGAAGGGTTTATTAATAATCATACATCAATAGTAATCTTCGATAGGTGATAATGTTACAGCATTCAAAGTGAAGCCTTTTAAAAACATTGGAAACGGCACATTATGTTAGATATTTTGTCGTGTGCAAACACATAGCATGTACAATTGCAAAATTATGCAGAATTGCACAAATGTAAGGTTCATGGCACGCTCATAATGTAAACAAACAAACAATCAAAAACAAATAACAGATGTAGGAGTCACCCGAGGTTGACTGACACACTTTTTCATCGAACCCGTTTGCTTGGACAGGCTTGATGTCTTCAGGTAGGTACTGGTTGGGAAGCAGTACACTCACTCTCCCTTGCCCTCTCTTTTTGTCTTTGATTTTCTTTTGTTTTTTTTCCAGCAGAGTTGGACCAAAAAGGCCTGGAAGGAATTGATATTTTCCATTGGATGTAGAACTTGGACCTCTGTTTTATAGTTGTTGTTCCCTCTCATTATTTGATTAATCCTGAAGTCTAAGAGAACCGAAATGAAACGGAGAAAAATATATTAGTGCTGAGCTCAGCAGATTTATTTTTTACCTAATGAATAGATAAGTTTGGATTATGCCTCACAAAGCTGCCAAGGAGACCATTTTTATTGCTGTTCGAAACATCTTTGATTAAGTGAAGCTGAGTGGTTATGCCTCTCTGTATTAATTGGTGCAGTATTTCCATATTCCACCACACAAATTGAAATCAAATGATCTCATCATGCAGCTAGTTGCTGTTTTAGAGCCAATGTTTTAAACTGCAACAATAAAGCACACCTTACCAGTTGGATGTCAGGGAGAAAAACTTTTTTTCTTCACTTTGAGGAAGTTCTTTTTAAAGAGAACATAAAATCCATTTCTTTTCTTTCAGCTCGGTGAGACTTGGAAATGGTTATAGACGATATACTAGCCAGAGGCAGTAAAAGGTATGTTTTCACATTTAGCCTCAACATCAAGGAGTCTTAGGTTGGAGAGGAGACGTCGCCACGTATGACCTCACGAAGCTCAGAATCAAAAGTTAAATTAGGTGAAGAAATAGTTTTTCTCCATTTACCACACAAATTGAAATCAAATGATCTCATCATGCAGCTAGTTGCTGTTTTAGAGCCAATGTTTTAAACTGCAACAATAAAGCACACCTTACCAGTTGGATGTCAGGGAGAAAAACTTTTTTTCTTCACTTTGAGGAAGTTCTTTTTAAAGAGAACATAAAATCCATTTCTTTTCTTTCAGCTCGGTGAGACTTGGAAATGGTTATAGACGATATACTAGCCAGAGGCAGTAAAAGGTATGTTTTCACATTTAGCCTCAACATCAAGGAGTCTTAGGTTGGAGAGGAGACGTCGCCACGTATGACCTCACGAAGCTCAGAATCAAAAGTTAAATTAGGTGAAGAAATAGTTTTTCTCCATTTTACAAATAAGAGAGGTTTTAATGACAAAAGCATTTTCATTATCATACACTCTACTATGTGTAATTGTTGATTGAATGGATAAATAATTCAATAATGCAAAAGAAAAAAAAATAGGGCTATATGCATTAATTTTTTAGTGTTATAAAATGGAATATGGAAATATAGTGACATTGAATGGTGCTTTTTGTAATGTTATTCTGATAAGCAATTGATTTTTAATCATTTGACAGTATTAGTACAATACATTGAACACCAAAAGGTGTGATATCTCACGATAAATATGATGTTAGTCTTTTTCCAGTGCATCCAGCTCTCCTGCAACCTCATTAACGCATTAGTCACTATCGAAGAGGGGAAGACGTTCACATCTGGCCTTTGTTTCTTCAGTTTTGTAGGCTCATTACATAACTTGAAGCCTTTCAGGCCTTTGTTTGAAATCTCTAAACTTTTACAATTTGTACGCCTGACAATCCTGGTTTCCATTTAAATAGCTTCACTTCTCTCAATGTCTTTTCTGATTCACCTCCATGATAATGAAGCAATTTAGTCAGCATGTATTCTGTTTTCACTCCATCGGGGGTTATCATAGCATGCCAAGTGTCATAAAAGTAAAGAGATAAATAATGCAGCCAAGCTCTCAGAACCACCTGGCATGTACATTTATATGCTTCAGTATTAACATTTTTTTTGTGCTTTATTGCTCAGAAAATGCTTAGCGCTGTGTCATTAGGCCATGGGGATGTGATTGCCTGTATTCTGCAGTTTCACATGACCAAGGTGGAATTCCATTGTGAGCAGAAATTAGGATATCGTCACAGGTATTACAAAAACGACAGGGCTAGTCGTTCAGATAAGCAAAATCTTTGTTCTAAAACCTTGTGAGTTGTATGCAAGACAAGCATTTTAAAGCTTTTAATTTTAATGCACTCCTGATCAGTTCACATATTAATTTCGCTGCCTTCTAAAATGCCTTGGCTGCATCTGAAATCACATACTTATATAGTAGGTGAAAAACAGTGAACGGAGTAGTATGTCTAAGGAATCATGAAACAGGAGGCAAACAAGTCCCTGGATAAACTACTATTTCTGGCATAATTCTGAAGTGTGCATCTGGTGGACACTTTACTGTTCCATTAGGGCACAGGAGAGGATTTGTGAATGTCAGTGAAGTGATGAAACTGACGCTGGTAGGTCGGTCACATGACAATAACAAAATGACAAATGTATTATTCATACTACTTATTGTACCTATGATTTTTGGACACAGCCATTGTTTCAGACACATTCTAAAGCAGAATTACATGGATTCTTTGCAGAGAAGGCAATCCCATAATGCATTGCGACATGCTACCTATGTTCCACAGTGTTTAGGATGCTGCCTTAGAAGGCAGCAAGTCAGCTCACTAGGCCTAAATGTTGGACAGATGGAGTGCTAACTACCCTCAAGAGAGCACATTATGAAGCTTTACCTTGCCAGGTGTTTCTCATTTTGGTTATAGTGAAGAAACGTGAATCCCTTTTCATTGAAAGACCTAGTACAAAGAGTGGATTCAGAGGGAGGTATTTGATGATGCCAGGTTTAAGACTCCCGTTGTGTCTCATATGCATATTCAGCACTTCCCCATAAACACAGAGGCTGTAAATAGAGAGGAACAGCCAACTGTGTACAAGTTGTAACCACTAAAATATCCCTGGCAGACCGCAAACCAGGAGGTTCGACGAGCTGTGTGTGCCTGAGAATGACTTTACATGGGAATTACAATTTAAAACGATCTGCCTGAGGGTGTGAGATTTCTGAGGCTTCAAACTTCTCATGCCTTTCAGAAAATCCATTTAATAATGCGCACTGCATGTAATAGGATAGTAGTTTATTGATTCCCTGAACTGCAAATGAAAGAAACAAAGAGAGAAAAAAATCTTTCTCAGCATTTTTGTCTTGTTTTCCAGTACAAATATCTATACTTTCTGAAATCAAGTACATATTTGAGAAGCAAAATGACTTAAGATATTGTTAATATCTGAAATTAGAAGAAATTTCAGATCAAATAAATTATTAAAATTAAGTGATTTTGAAGTTTTTGGTTAAAACAAGATTATAAACTAACTTAATACGTTTTTCAGAAAACAAGACATATTTTAAGTCAGTTTGCTTCCCAGTAAATGTATCTTGATGTTTAGATATTTGTACTGGAAAACAATAATGAGTATGAAAATCTTTTCATTTTTTTCTTAGTGTGGGGCATTATAGTAGTAAACACAAGATCACAAGAAAATGTGATATAATGTTTTTTTTTTTTTTTAATGTGCCATTACAACCAATGAGATCTTTGGTAGCAAACTGTTGAAATTAGATGTTTAAATTTTTTATTTTAGTCACAATACATAGCATTTTTTAAATAGGAATCATTGGAGAAAGATGTTTTTTGCTCGATAGAGTGTGTAATTACAGCACCTGCCACAAGGGGCAAAATAGGCTGAACCCCGACTGCTTGGTTGCATCTTACTGTAACAAAAAAGTAAGGACAGACAATATTTCATGTGTATGAAAGGAGTGCAATAATGATTAGACCGCAACATGTAGAAAATTGTGAAGACAACTATGGATTGCTCTTGCAAGTTAATGAACTTCTGCTTAAATAATCACATCCTTGTTGCCTTAGTCTTAATAGCTTTAGAAACCAAAACTGGATTGCTTTGCTGTTGTTAATCTAACAATTACATTGTATGACATTTAGCTAAAATGAGCTAACAACTGTTCCACTGAGAAAGGAATTCAACAATCTGGGGCCTAAAATGGAAATAAACTAAATAGCTGCCTGTTTAATCTTCACATTGCATTTTTGGATACTAGATACAATTTCAGCTGGCAGGGGCTGGTTAGTGTGCAAATGTGTACAGTCACCTTGCTAACATCTTAACCATCTTTTGGAGTTTACCTTATCATACCCAGCATAAAGAACTACACACGTTTTTCAAGCATTTGAAGGTTTTATGCTTTTCGTTCAGGAATGAGTTGTTAAGCTCCAGCCACTTGCTCTGGGCAAGTCTGGTCCTCCACCCACTGTCTGGATTTACTTTCTAAGCAAAGCTGTTTTTAATACAGGCTATTTGACATCCAACTCTATCCCCCGTGGTCCACGACTTGATTTGGCATATGATACGGAGTGTGACCATTTTAGAGGCATCGACTTGGGTGTCCTCTAGGTTTAGAAGAAATACAGCCACTGCTGAAAATGAAGGTATAAAACCAGCCAGTTTTTAGCACCGGACCTTTAGATTTGTTAACCCATTCAAACCCAGTATCTATTCTAGTGAACATTTTTTTGTGTGTTTTTGTCATTTGGGGCCATCCATATCATTATTAGTTTTATGATGCTAAATTAGTCCATATGTGACCCTGGACCACAAAACCAGTCATAAGTAGCAGGGGAACATTTGTAGCAATAGCCAATAATACATTGTATGGGTCAAAATGATCGAAAAAGGTACAGGTGTTTTACATGTATTTTGAATTTTACACTGCAGTTTTTTTCTTTCTTCAGATTTCTTAGTTTTCTTTACTGTCACTTATGATCAATTTAATGTGTCCTTGCTGAATAAATGCATTAAGTAAGACATAAAAAAATATTATTGACCCCAAAATTTTGAATATGCTGTTTTATTTGGCAGCAAAACTTATAAAAAAAATTATATGAAAAAAAAGCATATTTCTGCAGCTATTCTGTAGCTATCCAGAAGTTACTGTCTATTCTGACCATTTTTAATTGCTACAAGCAATGTCACAAATGTTTCCATTATATTAAAGTAGATTTTTGATTGCTTACGATTGCCAGTAGTGAAAGATTTGGGAATGTACATGTTTTATGGTGCTATCAGACAGTCAGCATTTTTTTTTCTTCTTCATAATATCATTATCATTTCAGCTGGTCTTCTCATGACACTATAGCTCAGGTAATTGCCAATAAATAAGTACAATAGATCACATTTTTGAATGAATGTCATCAGAAGAGTTTCACTGTTGTACAATGACACAAATTAGAAAAAAGCCTAAAACAAATTAATTATTGTTAAAGATCATGTTTCAAATGATGTTGACGTTGTCAGTTTATCTTTAATTTCTCACACTCATATTTGTTCAGTCACAGCCTTGCAGGTGAGCCTGCGAGAATTAGATACGGATATTTCAATAACGATGTTCTTTGTCCCTTCATTATCTGCTTTGTAGCTGTTTGCTATTATCTTAGAAAAAGTGTGCCAGTCGGATACAGCTGAAGTTGTTCTTCATGGCTTCTTTGTGTGATTACAGATAGAAAGACAGAGGCCTTTTCATAACGTAGCCTTGAGCTCATCAGTATTTCTTCTGCGATAAATTACTGCTGAAACTCTTGTTGACCCTTTAATTTCCCTCTTTGTTTGAAATAGTGGAAATAAAATATGTTAGAGGCCTAAGAACACCTTTTAAATTCAGTACTTCCTCTTCATGCCAAAATTAAACATTCATCTTAAAGGAATA